CTCCGACCTGTGCCATACAATCACCCCGTCGCTGCCACGCTTGAACCACAGGATTCGATGCTGAGGGATGAATTCCTCGTGCGTCTGCTCGCTCTTCCAGGCCGACAGCGCTTTCTCCTGTGGTCCCAGGAACCTGTCCTCGTAACCGATGATATAGTCATTGCTATCAATGTCGGGATCCCATCGCAGTCGGTTCAGCACATCAAGCGCGGTGCGGAACTTGCCCATCCCCTCGGGCTTCGGGTTAGTCGTTCCTGAACGTTGTTTCGCTGCTTTTGCCTTCTTGCTCAGCTTCTCAGCGGCGAGCCTCTCCTGGGCGGCCAATTCTTCCTCATTCTCGTCCTCAGTGTCATCCTCGTCTTCTGTATCCGATCCGTCATCGCCGTCGACGTACACACCCCATTCGCGATCATCCAGTCGCAAATTTCCTAAGTCATTCGTCCTGACAATGCTCGCGCTGAACCATGATGTGTTGGAGTCGAAGTAGTTCTCGTCACTCAGAATCATCTTCTCGAATTGCTGCAAAACAGCTCTGAGGTTGCTTTGTGCAACTTCCAGGTCGCCACGATCAGGCTTCTCGTCCGATTCCATCCATTCCAGGCCGACGAGGTAGGAGCCCTGGTAATCGCTTTGGTTGTTTTGGGGGTCGCAAGTAGATGCGTCGACAAATCTCGCGGGCCAAATTCTCGCCGAAAGCTGAGGGACTCTCCTATTAATATCTGCGGGTATTGTCAGCAAACGAGCAGCACGCAGGAATGAGGTCGGGGTTCACAGGCTACTTACCGACAAGGAGAGATGCACATCGAGACTCCAGCCAGCCAATGAGCCTACTTCCTCGCTCCAGAGATGTTCCCCAGTAATGTACACGCAAGTCTACAAAGGACCGGAACGACGTGAGGAATCCCACGGCGCTAGGCGTCATGACGTTACCTCGGCCGGGCTCTGGCACCGGTAGCAACGATTCCCAGGTTGCTCCGTCAGCCGATAGCAACTTGTTGGCTTGGCGGAGTTCTGTCGAGATAATCTTGACGGTCGGGACGGAGGCGTTGAGTGCCGTATTGAGCGTTGGCGAGTGCCACCCGAGCAAAACCAGTGCTTCTCTGCTTGTTCGGTGATATCTGAGGTTCTTGTGGAAGAATGGGTCGAATACCATGTCCCTTTGCCAGTCAAACCGCGCATAATGCTCGAAGAAGGTCGCAATGATATCAGCAGCAGAAATGGCACCACCGTTGTGTACAAGCGCCTTGCAGACATTGGCCAACATGACAGTCAAGTGGATGCCTCCGAGATACCCAAACTTGGCAGCGTAGATTCCGCGCGCCTTGGCCCAAGTCTTGATGGCTTGGTGGCTCAGTCGGAACTGAGCCAAGTCTGGAATGGATCGCTGGAGATAGAATAGATCTCTCGCGGGCTTCAGCTTCAACAGTGTCTGGGCAGACAAGCTGAATGCCGGATCTGACGCAGGACGCTTCAGAATATCAGGCCATTCGTCCGCGATGTTGGGTGCCTGGCAATACTGGAGATCGCATCTCACACCGAGAACTTCCACCTCGAGCATCGTGCCGGTCTTGGCTTTGACTTTCCTCAAAAGCCGAATACCAGGAATGCACGATTTTCTCAGTCTTTGCCTTGCCAGAGTGAAGAAGACACGGGGACTGATAGACCCGATGAAGAAGCAGTCGATATCGGAGTTCCTGGACCACGTACCGAGACCATAGGATCCCACGGGGACGAGCACAATCGTCGGGCGGCCTCTTTTGTTGTCCACGAGTGTTTGGTCGGACTCGATTAAGATCTGACGAAGCAATCGAATTGCCCCACTCCGAGCTGCCTCGTCTTCCGCTGAGGGGAACACCTCAAGATTCCCCAGGCACTTGGTTAGTCCTGTGGTATCTGACAAACCGTCTGGCGCTCTCTTGAGATCGACAGGGATCGCCCTCGCATCACTGGCGGCATCCTTCGCGTGAGAGCGCTGCAAGAGACATCTAACACCCCAGTGATCACTCGGATACAGAGGCTCTTGTCCGGTCTCGCCGTCGCCAGTGACGAAGCCGAACATGTTGAAGCGAGATATCTGGAAAGGACCAGTGCCCTTGACCAAGATGCGATCATAACGTTGCGGTCGGTTCCCCAACCCGGCACCAACCATCTTACTGGCGTGGGGGTTCGCAGTAGGGTCAAAAGTTGCTCCTTGCTCGCCCTCGAACATTTGGCTGAGATCCCCTTTGAAGTTATCACTCACGCCAGCCTCGATGCGCGAGACCATCCATACGTCGAGAAGTTCGGCCTTTGCTAGAGTTGTTTCGATGCCTCGGAGGACATTCTCTGTTTGGACGGTGATGGCCCCCTTTTTAACAGCGGCGTCGATGGTGAAGGAAGATGTCGTGATATTGAAATCACCCGCGATGATCCATTGATGTGAAGCGTAGTTGGACCCGAGGTGACCTAGTAGTGCCTGGAGTTCTCTAAAGATGACATTTCAGCACAGATAGAAGATCACGTTCGGCGGAATCCTGTAGCTCACCTTTCCTTTGCAACCACGGCCCCGTCTGTCAGGCCATGGCTCAGGTGACAAGTTGCCAGGACTAAAGGAGAGGTAGGTTCCTCTCCTTCGCCATGTGCCAGATCACCGAAGCTGACTACGCCTGATCCCTTGTGCGGGCGTACGAAGGGAAGATACTCCCACGAAAATGGGTACTTACTAAGGACCACATGATTGAGTATGCTGGGTAATGGACCGGCAGTAGGGTCGTCAGGAGACCCGTGGGAGGCATTGGGATACAATGTGCGAATTCTGTCGTCTTTGAGTAAAAAAGGTAAGAAGTCGTCCGTCACTTCTTGGAGTACCAAGATATCTGCCACGGCATTTCGTGAAAGTAGGTTCTCAACGATGACGGGGTATCTGCTACGAGATGGGGGCCATTCGAACTCTGCCAAAACGTTCCAGCTGGCGACGATGAGGTTCTCTACTGCCTTGATCTCCGGGTGATGTGAGTCTGTATTTGAAGAGACGGGCCGCCAACCCAACTCCGGGCTGGAGAATCTCCATGATCGCTGCGGGATAACGGCTGAGGCCATTTTAGGAAACAACCCAAACGAATTATCGCATTGACTCAGTGAAGGCAAAGCAAGGTCGATAAGACCCCAGTGGCTCATTTGACCGGACGGAAGACGCACTAGAACGGCTAGTTGGGTGGCTTCCCAACTGACGGGTGGTAGTCGTCGTAGCTTCTCGAGGAGAAAGTTGAGTTTAGATGGTCCTGCCGTATCCTCGCACTGAGCAATCGTCATGTGCATGTGGTAAGGAGCAGGGCGCGTCTGGCCGATAGCCGTGAGAACTGTGGTGCGTAAAGAAGTAAGGCGATGAGTCCTCTCTTCATCCTTATCACACAGAAACAGGGTGCTGCCGTTCTTGTGCTCAAAAAAATCCGGTGAGTCGAGGGAAAGGGGTATGCTAGCGAGGTCACCGGTCTCCTGACAAGCCCTGAGGCAATTTACAATGGCATCGCAGGCTTGATGCAGAGACTTGGAATCTGCAGAACTTGTGAAAGGGTAAACGAGGTTGACATGAGGTGGCCATTTGGCATAGGCCTTGTCATTTTGGGAACGAAGACGGTCAATAGACGGCCACTGTTCCTTTGGTGGAATGAGGCAAAGAGCCGTGTCGTGTGTGGGTTTGACGCTGAATTCCATGGGTGTTGGTCTCTTGGTTCCCGTAATGACTTTGACTGCCGGTAGTTTTCGTAAAAGGGTAAATGTATTGATAGTGCGTAGTGTGGTATGCGGCGAGCCCAAGGCGTAGATACCTGAGAAGAAAGGATTCGAGTTCTTGTGTCGTTTGATAATGGGCCCAGCGGAATTATACGAGGATGTTCCGTTTACTTGACGATTGAGATTGCCTATATGGAACAGAAAGGAACAAGACTTGCGATGGCTTTTGTATTGAGTGGCCAAAGCGAGAAACTCGACTCTTCCAGCCAGGGGCTAGGTCCGTGTAAGTGTAAGTGTGTATCCGTAGTTGCAGGCTGAGTCCAACATGGGAATTGAATAGAACCGTTTCTCGGCCGCATCCCATTGGTGTGTTTTGGTATCGAACGAGACTGACCACCCCTGCAGTTCTACGACAGCTCCCCAATTTACGGAGTATTACTGTGGGAATGTCCTCATTGAGCAACCGGGGCTGAGGGCTGAAGCTAAGGTAATTGCGGGGAGTGGGAGTCACTGGCCGAGTGTGTCACTGCGTCAGAGTCGTCCCGCTCTCCACTCACATCTACCATGTATCCGTTCGCCGAGACTTTTGATCTCGATGCGCTGACTAGGAGGTAAGCATATGGCTTGATCCAAGTAATGTAGCAAAAAACTACAATCGCGTATTTGCCCATGTCGTGGGCCGTCTAAACTATACTAGGTATTCGAAAGGGCAAAGGGCCAAACTTCTGAGAGGCGCAGGTCTGGGGCGATGCGGGGCGGTGACTCACTGTGGTCGGTTGGTCCATCCGAAAGAAGCAAGCTGCATGGAACCCTGCTCATTGCCTTCCTTGCAAGCTCTCTCTGCCTTACAACACCTGCTCCGGAGTAATAATGGTTTTATCGTCAGCTTCGTACTTGGCATTGAATGAGGCTCATATCAGCTAGATACCATAGTAAGACTTACCAAGTGACGTTTATACCGCCATCATCTTCACGGGTAACAAGTAACCCAGTTAAGACCGATCTCATGTCACCGTGTGTGTGTATCTTGTGCCAGTCAAACTTCCCTTTCTTCCTCTCACTTTTTGCCTCCTGCCCAGTTGATATTCACAGGGATATCTTCAGAAATCGCCAAATAGAAGGATATCGAAAATGTCAATCGAAACCGATATCGGAGCCTGTTACTAAGTTTGGATTTTGAGCTACTCGGTTTGACTTCAATGTTTGAAGAGAGCCATTACAGAATCGAGGTAGACTGCGAGAACTAATCACAGATCAGCCATTCTTGGGCAAAGCAGTCAGTCAGTGCACCTTCTCCATGTGGCTCAAACGCCAAGCTCGGGTATCATCAATCACACAAAATCGCACTCCGTTCCCCGGCCAAGCGAGATATCATGCTCCACGTCTCCTGCGAGAGCCTCAAACGGCGTGTTCCTCAAGCTCGGGTCCTATCCCTCCCCAGTCGATGGACGCCACGCCCTTACCCTTGCCCTCCATGAGTGCCTCCAGCTTGTCCTCGTTGGTTACGTACGCTCCGTTCTGCCTCTTCTGCGCCATGGCATACTTGATCGAGTCTCTCCACTCCTGCAAGAAACATCGTCAATAACTCAAGCTTGGCAATCATTGCGACCACAGCTTCTAGAAGGGCACTGCACGTCATTTGGGAAGCTTCACTTACCCGCCACCATACTTCTTCACTCTGCATCATGCACCTCCGGCCCTCCTCGCCGTTCCTGGCTGTCGCAAAGGGCCACACCGACTGCACCACTTCGTACTTGTGCTTGCTTGTGAAAAGGTTCTTCATGCCCATGTAGAGCTTACTCGGCTTCTCGGCACTCTTGACCTTGACCTTGGCATGCGTCACGGGAAACGAGATGTTGATCTGCCCCTTGTACTGAGTTGAGGCGATCAAGCTACGAATCTGACCCTCAATATAAAGCGTGTCTAAATTGGCAACAACTCGTTCGAGTGCTTCAAGGTAAGAGTTGCTTGTTAGCCGTAGTTAAACCAAACGCATACCTTGTAATGCAAGGCGAACTCACCAAAACTCTTGACGGGTGCTGGATCCTCGATGAATCGGCGACACCACTCTTCCAGCTCTCTGTCACCCACCTCGGGGAGGACATCGGCCTTGGCGCCGCCACGGAACGCGACCTCGCCCGGCGCAACACACCGAATGTAGTCCAAACGCTTGCCCATATCGTCTGCCACCAGCAAGCCCATAAGGTTCATTTTGAAGTCAAAATCAATAGTGCGACCGCGGTTTCCTTTGATATGTATCAGCGGCTTGGGTGGGATGCTCGCCTGGGACCTGATGAGCCCTATCAGCGCGCTAGCGCTCGCTGTCAGATACTCTGCCTTGGACGACAGGGTGGTGCAGTCGGGCGATAGAGTGAAGTTGGGTGGTGAGTAAAGCTTGTAGTCCAGCCTGGGTAGACCCGTATAAATGTGAATTCCGTGTATCCCTTGGGGATCGTGTGAGATGGACGTCTCCGAGCTATTGGAGGGGCTTGAGTATGGTGGGGGTTCCGAGGTACTGGCGCTGTCGGTTGTCAGGTCATCATCATTGGAACGACTTGCCAGCAATGCCTTTTCTGTTACAAAAGAGGACGATGCTACGTTCATGCTGGATGTTGGCACTGGTGCTGGAGGCGGCGGCGGCGGCGGCGATGCTCTCATTGTCATTGGGGGCAGCGGCAATGGTGGGAGCTCTGCTGGCAACTCCGAGGGGCCCGAGAAATCTGTTGGGAGCGCTGGTAGCGACCGAGAGTGCAACACCACTGATCGCCCATCACTCAGGGTTGCAGCCATCGTCAAGTCTTGCGTAGTGTTGAAATGGCTCGTGGGCGTGGGCGTGGGTTGCTTCAAGGCGTAACCTAGTCACTCAGCGAAATCGGACGAACTGCAAAATGCGGTCGGTTGTGTGGCAGCGGTTGATCAAGCCGAAGTCTACATAGGGTAATTTGAGACTATTCGGAATTGTTTCATAAAGGGAAGAAACACGGTGAAGAGAGATTTGGGAGTAGAACGATAAGGTAGTAAAGAGAGGGGGGGATTGTGACAAAGAGACCTGCATGGTCATCAGTTTCCCCCTCTGAATACAAAAGTAGCCCGCACCGGGCCTCACTATTAAGTATGACCTTCGTGTCAGAACCTGGCCGGTGGTGAAGACCAAAGTCCCTGAAAAAGCAATCACCTCAGAAATGTCAGACTGGGGCTTGAATTAGGCACCACCATTCTTCTCCAGCCCCCATGCCGCAGCGGAGTGCGAATGGAGCATTGGAGCCTGCCCCTGCCCGCCGCATGCATCAGCCACGGCTCACGGTCCTCGGCCGGCCCTGGATAGTGGATTGCTGCACATGTATCCGCGTAACCGTACGCTAAGGTACCGTAATGTATCCGTACGGATACCAACCTTTCCATTGGGCCTCGGGGTCATCAGCACCAAGCCGCTTTTGGCCTCAGTGTGTCTCGAAGGATCATCAGCAACAGCCCCATTCCATCACAAACAATGGAAAGCCGGCTCCGAACCTGCGAATGGCCTTCACCACCCTCATCCTACCTCCTTTGAGGCAAACCACCAATGAGAATACACCTTGGAGCTGGCTGCACAGTCGGGAATTCCCACCCCGATCCTCGGCCGGGGGGGTTTGATCCATAGTATATAGAACCGCAACACAAAGCCCCAAAACAACAATCACAGAAGCGCGGCAGCTGTGTACAGAAGCACAATTCGAAGGCGTAAATATTCATCATTGTCACCATTGCAATGCATATGCCTATTAACCGAGGTGATGCTAATATCACTGTCCCCTCAACCTAACGCCGAGTAGAAACGCCCTCATATGCCCAAAGTGTGTTGAGGCACTGCTTGATCCACTTGATGATCGAGGGAGGTAGTATGCATGCCATGCTCAATCCACCAACGCCCAGGTAACCGAATTCTTAGAAATAATACTAGTCAGTCCTCGTCTCGTACAGTCATTCAGGGCAAGATTCGTCCATCTGCCGACTTCAGACGAGCTGGAAGCCATCTTCTTCTGAGACGCGGACGCCTTCCTGGCGTAGATTTTGGCGAGCTTTGCGGCCCTTAAGAACCTGACCATTCTCATTAAGAATTTCGTACTCCTTCTCCACCATACGCTCTGTCTCGCGACCCGTCGCCGTCTTGACAAATATGTCCAGAGTCATTGGTCGGCCGGGGCTTTCAACCCGATCAAAACTGTACTTCCAGTCCTCGGTGGCAGATGTGTCCCCATGCAAGTCTTGCGATGGCGCCATATTCATGACAGAGCGGCTGAGAGGATCCTTGATTTGTTCCTTGGCGCGAGCTGCCGAGCGCAGCCGTCCTTGCGGGAATTCCGAGTGTGACCGGAACTTGCTGAAGTTCTGCATATGCTTCTTGTAGTGAGAACTATTGCGAGCATTAGGTGTGCTGCTAGAATGTACAGTGACAAGCGTTCAAGGGCAAACATACGTCTCACTGTTCCTGGCCCGGGGCCGTGTCATGGCTCGCTGTTGCTCGGTTCCGCCAACAGCTTCAAGAGTGTACCAGTCAAGATGGCAGCCGGCCAGAGGACGGGCCCCGTTGGACCACTTGGACCGTGAATCCTTTGATCTTTTGAAATCTTGGTTGGCGCTTCGCAGGTCGCGTTCGAACTGGGCCGGAGATTCGATTGAGGCGGCCATGGTGTCTGGGTTGACGGAGCACGGTACGTTGAGAAGGGAGGGTATGATGTGATGAAGTGTCGATACTCGTGATAGGTAAGCAGCTGTCAGGCCGCTTTGCGCTTTGGGTAAAGGTAACGACGATTGCCTGGCTGGGAAGAGCCTCGAGTATAGAGTAGGTGTCGGAAGCGTTGGAGGAGGGGTTGGAAGACAAGTAAGGTAGATATAGTCGATGCAAGGACAAGCGAAAGAGCAGTGTGCGCTTCTGTCACCAGCTTTGGGGGGGGGGGGTGGCTACCTAGTACTAGGAGACTGAGGCCAAAGGAAGGAGGAGGGTCCGGGCAATATGAGGCAGGTTGGATGAGGTAATCACTCCAAGGCGGACGGAAGTGGCCGGGTGAGTCACCGGACAAAGCTGAAGGGCTGAGTTGCCGAGGATGACAACAAGGATTCGAGAGGCAAGGTCGCGTCAAGATCGAGTTCTAGACGAAAGGAAGTAATGTCGAGCAAGGCACAGGGTGGGGGTTGGTATACAGATGCAGATGTTCGTAGTAGGGTAAAACCAGGTTCGTGATGAAGTTGTCAGGAAACAGATGAAGAGGTAGAGAAAGACGGAATTCACCTGGACAAAGGTCGCGGGATGGAGGATGTGATATACCTTAGCTGGCAACGGTTGGTAAGGCACCTTTGAGGTAAGGCAAGGTAAGGTAGGCAGATAAGGCGATGGGAGGTAGGGCGGGCCACAGTGCGCCTGGTTCCAAGAGGATGGGGGAGGCGCGCGTGTCCCAACTTTGGGATCTGGAGACTGGAGCCAAGCTTGCCAGGCCGAGTTCCAACTTCAGATGAGACGGAAAGGGCGTGACGGAGTGGGTTGGTCGCGACGCAGGCACGCCGCACGCCGCTCGCCTGGGGCTGTAAAGGAAGGGCCAGGCGCGAGCAAGATGATGTAGGTATGCGAGATGAGTGTCAGACGGGCTGGTGGTGGCCTCTTGACCGGGAAGGGGGCTCATCGTCTCGGCTTAGCAAACAGACGGGCGATAAAGCTGGATGATAGTGCATTTGATACGTAGGTAGATACGGTCCATGATAAAGCTCGGGGCGTGTGGATGTGATAAGGTACCTAGATGGAGGGGGGGTGTACCTTGTGGTAACGTGGAGCCTGTTGATGAATGGCGTTGAGGTAAGCCTACGGAAAGGAACGGAAAAGGTATGACGAATCGCGAATTCCATTGTTGGGGACTGCGAGTCGGCGGGTGCTGCTGCAGAGTGCAGAATGTACGGAGTCAAATGCAGATAATACTCCCCCCCGTCCCTGCTGCACTTTCTCCTGCTTTGGGCCGAAACTCATGGTTCCTTCCAATCAGAGGGATTTTGGAAGGGGCGTGGCGTGGGGAGCACACTGCGACAGTCATCCGGCGTTGCAGAGTGGTGGACTAGAAAGAGTCACCCGGTCTCGCCATCCCCCCCAGTGTCGCCGGCTGCCACCGCCAGCTGTCTCGGGGTCCCTCGATAGGTACAGAGAGGCCTTGTTCTGACCTGTCCGGGCCTACCTACTTTTACTGGTTGATGTCATACAATGCATGCGGCGTGCTCGCAAAATGACGACAAATGCCGTATTCAACTTGCAACATGCACACTGTGACACCCGAGGTACGATAAGCTCCTCCAACTAACGTAGCCGGCCTTTCGAAGGGCTATGCGCCTGGCATTGGTGACTTGCCATTAGGTGAGGTCGGCCATCTTGCCGCTGGCGGGCTGCCAACTCAGCTCGGTTGTGGTTGCTCGGGTCATATGGCCCCCCTCACTCGCACCCTCCTTCTCCTTTGACTAAGGTAAGTAAGGAGGCAGGTGTTATTTCGACAGTAATCACTTTTTCCCTCCACCTCAGTTCACTTTGGTACCTTACTTGGGTTGATTACGCAGGTTTCCTGCCATGGAAGGGCCAACAACGTATCCCTACTTCAAGCGCCTTGGGCGTGACTATCGCCTTTGTTTGCTTTGCCGAGAAATGATATCACCGGGTCAGGAGGACGTCATGGTCGATTTAATGCGGGCTGGAGTTGCTATCAGCCCGTTCCAAGTTGTCCAACTGCAAATGCCTGCGAGAAATCTAGATGATGTACATGCTCATGATCGGAAAATGCAGTCCAGAGATTTGAAAGTGCAAGATGCGTGCATAGATTATTACCTCGCCCTCTCAAGTCGATGTTGTTTTCTACCCATAGCTCATTCATCCCGAGTCTGTCCGTTTGTTTATAGCAAACATCCACAGACCCGGAGCCCCGTAGACCCGTAGACTAAACGGGACCTCGTGAACGTCTCGGACCCCACGGCACCTGCTCCTCCGCCCGGCTCGTGCTCGAGCTTAGTCAGAAGACTTGGCGCTCAGCGCACGAGCCAGTCGACATTTCACCGCAATGCCCGGGACGGGCCCGACCTCCACTTGCATATTACCCGTGGACGCTGCTGCGGCCTCCCAGGTGCTCACAGGCCCATCCCATGAAACCTCGACACTTGCAAGCTCTCTCGCACTGATCGTCCTTCGGCTTGGCAACCATTACTAAGGCAATGTTCGGTAACGTAGCGTCTGAACAATTAGAAAGAAAAGAACACACCAAGAAGCAGAGTGCAAAGGAAGAGAGCCTCCGCCATTGCCAGCATCTAGACCGTGCCTGCCAAGATGTGTGACCTCTCCATTTGCAGTGGTCAGTAGCATAACGTAACTCCCCAACTCCCTCAATACCTAGCTGGAACTTTCTCTCGTGTCCTAGGCTCCGGTACTCTTCCTCTCCGTCGCCGACGGGCCATGGTTGGGTCAGATTCTCCCCGTTCTAGCTGCATGATTCAGGTCGGGACGGCTTGACATAACCTTATTCCCCGCCTTACCTGACTTCAGCATATGGACACCGAGTCGAGAACACCACGATACCAGAGGGCGATGGAGATGCGCGGTGTCTGAGCAGTCAGTTCACTGCCATCTTCCATCTATTTGACTTGAAGTTAACCGCCACGATGGATCGTGTTACTGGGATGGCCAGGGAACCATCGGTTGTGGCCCTTCGGACCTCAGTGCGCGCATCTCAAGGCCATCCTTAAATCGTCTACGGATACAACATTGAGCAACATGCAGAGCACAGTCAATCCCCACGATCCTACCCGTCACTCTAAAATCACAGGGCTCCGTCGTATCCGTCTTTCTGTAAAGACGTGCAGTTATTGCACGGGCGCTACTGGCCGACTGCTCCCTCCCATGGTCGAGGACTCGAGACTGTTACATCCCAGCTCATCGAACTTGACCAAGTATGAACCGAGCCCTGTTCTCGTGACACTGACTGTGTTGATTCGGCCAGCGTATTGATACCCCCAAGTAAAAGGGTTCTGGCCCCTAAATTGCTCTAGGTACTGCCAAGTACGCCTTCGAACTAGTGCTCTGT